TGGACAGACAGCTCTGACTCGATTGACATAATTATCTGAGACTTTGGATTGGATAGTAAGTTCCTAAATATGTTGCTTTTCATGGTTTATAATTGGTTGTTGACTTTTTTTTGTCAAATCAGAGGCATCAAAACTGAATCAATCACTTATTTTCGGATTCAAGTTTTGCCTAACCAATCACTTATTTTCGGATGGAGGTAGTATTTAACTCAACAATGGAATATGAATGGAGCCGAATCGCTTGCATGTGTATACTGCTCGCTTTGAGCCGTTTTATGTCGTGCTACGAAGTTGCAAGCCGTGGACGTTGGTGCTTGAGCCGTAGATGTGTTGCTTGTGTTGGTTTTCACTCTTTCGGGCGTAAAGGATTTACTTTTCATGAAATATATAGGTGGTCAGGTGAAATATATTTTCAAAAGGTGAAATTATCCGTTGGTTGGGTGAAATATATCGGGGGTTGGGTGAAATATATTGAAAAAAAGCTGAAATTAAACGCAAAATGGTGTAGTAACGTTACCCTAACAGTAAATAGACAAGAGGTCAGGCAATCCGGGATTTGAATCCGCGTCATACTCCCGGACATCAAATACTCTAACCAGTGCCCCGCGGCGTCAACAGTTATCACATAAATTGAACCATCGAACCAAATAATATAAAATAATCGTTTGTTCAAACTGCGAAAATGAAGCTCCTGCTGTTAACTATAATATTTTTGGTATTTCGAAGTTCTTAACCCAATCACATTTCGATTTCATGCCAATTCCGATGTATCAAGTGTCTCATAAAATTTGTCGTTGTCTCTAATAAGCTTAGAAGCCAATCCAAAAATTGATAAAATGTATGGAGGCCAAAGTTGGTCATCATGTACATTGCAAAAAAAAGGCCCCTAATCGAACCATTTTGCACAAAATGACAGACTTTGGGGCCTTCGAAAATCGCTAATATTGTCGATTTGATACAAATTTGGGGAGGGGGTGCAATCGAATTGCGCCGACCAAACCGATCCACAATCGCTCGGATTGGTTCAATTTCATTGAGAAGGTTTTGATTGGTTAATAATTTTGAGCTTTTCTGAAGTAGCCAATCAAATCGATTTAAATTCCAACGAGAAACCACGCCACAACACGAAATTTCACTCGAAAACACAATAATGGGGTGACAAAATACTTCTTTCCAATTTTGTTGCCATTTTACGGCCATGATTGATTGGATGTAAATCGTGGCCAACATAGTATTGCACCAAGGGCTTTCACTGGCACCCGTGGCCAAGATCCAAGCCGAGGCCCGTCGTTGCGTATATTTAACACCCAACGGGGTCGACCGTCAGATCTCTAACGTAAATGACCAATTTATGATCACTTTTTCGGAGTAGTCACCGTAGAATTCGCATATCTCGGCTCACAGGACGACTTTTCACATTTTTGTGAAGTGATTCTTAACAACCGAACACAGAGCTTTCAATTCATAATCAAATTATTACATTTGAAGATGTACTCTTAATACAAAAAGCCGACTTTCCAAGCAAGTTTACTCTATTTTTGAGGACTAATTTATGATCACTATTTTAACCTTGAACTGTCTATACCTTGATGCATACAAATTATGCGGATAGGGTATGCATCATGGTCAGGTAATATATAAGTTTACAAGGTTATTGTCGATTTGATACAAATTTGGGGAGGGGGTGCAATCGAATCGCGCCGACCAAACCGATCCACAATCGATCTGATTGGTTGAATGTCATTGAGAAGGTTTTGATTGGTTAATAATTTTGAGCTCATCTGAATTAGCCAATCAAATCGATTTAAATTCCAACAAAAAACCACGCCACAACACGAAATTCCACTCGAAAGCACAATATGTATTTCAAGAATATTTGGTGGGACAGTTCCAACACATGGTCCGGATAACCTGTTCCAATCGTTTCATTTTTGGACTGCCTGTGATGCGCATAGCCATGGCATCTGCGCGCGTGAAAGTATGGGGTAAGGATAATGCTTGGGTACAGTTAGACGGCGAATACGGTAGGTCTGTGTCGTCTTCGACACCTGTGATTTCCCTGACAAGCACCCATACTATCCATGATACTAGTAAGCATTTAGCAATTTTAGGTTATCTGCGGGGCAGGGCAAGGAACTTACCCATTTTCAAGTCCAATGTCCGGATGATTCGGCATGGTTAGCGTGTGTAATGTATCGAGTTCATTCAGTATAATCTATTGGAGGCTTTGGGGTCAAAAAATACCCCGACGTGATTGGCTCAATGGGAGTGATCATAAATTGATACAGTGATCATAAATTGGTCATTTACGTTAGTCACTCCTTCTTCAGCAACACCAGTGCCCACACATATGAGTGGTGACTGGGGCTCCCGCACTGTGGTTATCTGTGTTCGTGTTGGTCCCCAATATTCAACCTCAGAGATGTGTTGATAGCGTAGGATCAATGATTGGCTGGTGATGCGATAATTTCAGCCAGTTCTATATCAGAAAAAAGCTTCATTTCCGCATGTGCGATGCAGAACTTTGATGGGAATACATAGGCTAGGAATGACGACGCGGAATGGGGAACAAGTGCACATCACAACCTGCACCGCGGCAGCTAACTACAGATAGCGGCATCTCATGCGCATGTGCACCATGTGCGCGGAAAACTACAAATTCTGCCTCCACCATCGCGTTTTCGTCCTCTGTACTCCATGTAGGTTTCGCACATGCGCACATGTGCGAGCGCAACATGTATTGTGCTTTGCACCTTTTTTGGCAATTCCAGGGCTAAATTCATTGTTTAAAAATTCTCAGGCTTAAATAACGTTTAAAGTAACTTGAATAACGGTTGGGTGCGTTGTTTACAGTTAACATTACTTCATCAAATGCGATGATTGGTTGGTTTGAAGGTGGTTTTACAGGCACTTTCGTAAAACAAGTGGTTTGCCGTTTTCATTCTGGCAAATTGTTAAACGTCAACACGTCAAGGTGCTTGTCGCAATGAAACTGAAGCAGATATGGCCATACCGGTATACATGACCTCCCATCCGTGATCACTACAAACATTAAAGTTAGATGGGCAGGTTGCAGTAGCAGACAGATGAGTAGTTGAGGGGAGAACCGGTAGTGAATTAATTCTGACGACAGAGGAGGAACTAGCTCTAGATGTGCCAGTTCCTCCAACAGCCAATCAAATCCTAGATTATGATTGGTCACGACATCCTGTGATGTTCCGTGACAACTCTGCGCTGTCTTCTACTCTGAGGAAAAGCCTCTAGAAGGCACAAAAACCTCCTACACAGCTAGCAGACACTGCTACCTGACTGACAGGGCAGTGGTGATGTTCTCTAGCAGAACAGGGTGTTCTGACTGCCTCCCAACAGCGCCACGCACTGTCAACCGGAATCAGGTGCCCAGAGTGCAGA